GAGGAGAGGAGAGGAGAGGAGAGGAGAGGAGAGGAGAGGAGAGGAGAGGAGAGGAGAGGAGAGGAGAGGAGAGGAGAGGAGAGGAGAGGAGAGGAGAGGAGAGGAGAGGAGAGGAGAGGAGAGGAGAGGAGAAGAGAAGAAGCTGGGCATAGTGGTGCATGCTCTTAATTCCAGCAGCTTGGAGGCAGAGGCAGGAGGATCTCTATGAGTGTGAGACCTTGTCTACCTAGTGAGTCTTAGAACAGCCAGGGCTACATAGCTGGTTGTGAGCAGCCTGGCCTGGTTACCTGGAACTAAAGTAGGGTCATCCATCTTAGGGGGAGGAGAGAGAGAGAGAGAGAGAGAGAGAGAGAGAGAGAGAGAGAGAGAGAGAGGGAGTGAATGAATGAATGTCTGTCTGTGGTATATGTTTGTTCCCGCCCCCCCCCCCCCCCCCCCCTAACAAATCTTTTTTTTTTTTTTTCGGTCTTGATTTTTTTGAGACGGAGTTGTTCTGTGTAACAGCCCTGGCTATCCTGGAACTCTCTTTGTACACCATGCTGGCCTCGAACTCACAATGATATGTCTGCCTCTGCTTCCCGACTGCTGGGAGTAAAGGCGTGCACCACTAACCCAGCTTATACCACAGCATCTTCTTTAACACTAGCGTGTCCTGCTCTCACTTGCACAGACCTTCCATGGCTCTCCGTTTCCCTCCCTGATGCATTCCTGCAGGATCTATCCCCAGCCCCACCATCCTTCTAACCCCTTATGTTTTTTTCTTCACCAGGCCTGAAGCTGCACCCAAACCAAGTGCAAAGTCTATCTATGGTGAGCTTGAGGGTGAAGCAGACCAAGAACGAGGCTCTTGGGAGAAGAGAGAATGCAGTCTGTGATCTTAAGTCTGAGGAGGAGGGGATAGAATCTGGACTCTTGAATCTGAGAGAGGAGGGCTGAGGTCAGAGATCCTGGGTCTGAGGGAGGATGATTGTGGTCTGGACTCCTAGTCTGAGAGAGGAAGGTCGGAGTCTAGACTCCTCAGTCTGAGGGAGGAGGACTGTCGTCAGGGTCTGCAGTCTGACTCCTGCATGCATTTTCTCCTCCCTCCCCTCCTTAGAACAGAGGAAACGTTACTCCACAGTGGTTATGGCTGATGTGTCCCAGTATCATGTCAATGTGAGTCTGGGGTCTGTGTTTTCCTAAGACGTTTCTTAGGAAGAGGTGAGCCTGAAGTGACAGGGCTTTTCAAAACAGGGACGGGGGGGGGGGGGGGGAGCAATAAGGATGTAAAGTGAATGAATATGGAAGAGAGAAAGGGGAAGGAAGGAGGAAGGGGGGAAAGAAGGAAAGAAAGAAGGAAAAGACTCTAGGAAAATTCAGCTCTTCCCTCCACATGAACATCTGTGCTCATTGCCTGAGAACTCAGTTCTGTCAGATCTTCCTCTGAGCCATCCCCAGTGCTGGATGTCAAATCAGCAGCAGTCCTGTGGTCCAAGAGAGGGTGCTGGGTATTATACTGCAAAGCAGAGGAGGCACTTAAAAGAGGTCAATCATTATTTGTTGCCCTTGAGGGGCCTCCAGTCTTGGTTGGAAGAGGGCCTAATTGGAAGGAGATCTAAGCAATGCTGGCCACTGAAGGAACTCTGCTGTTTTGAGGGAGGATTTTGTTTGTTTTGGTTTTTTGTTTGTTTGTTATTGCTGTTGTTGTTTTTAATCTCTTCTGGATCTGAAGGAAGAGGGTTAAAGCCTGGAGTCCTGGGTCTGAGGGAAGAGGACTGAGGTCTGGACTCAAAGGGTCTGAGGAAAGCCTTCTGGGGGAAGTATGGCTGAACTGGAACTACCCCTAGAGGCCCTTAGCCAGCCCAGCACCTGCTTAGTGTTGCCTGGGACTCAACAGACTTCCTTGTCTCCTGCCAGCACCTGGTCACCTTCTGCTTGGGGGAGGAAGACGGCGTGCACACTGTGGAAGATGCTTCCAGAAAGCTGTCAGTCATGGACAGCCAGGGGCGCGTCTGGGCACAGGAGATGCTACTGAGAGTGTCACCTGGTCATGTCACTCTGCTTGATCCGGTCTCCAAGGTGCCAGGGAGCCCTTGGGTGGAAGGAGAGATAGGGCTGAGGTCTAAGGGTGACTCTTGGCTCCAAAGCTTCCTTCCACTGGGAACTTTGGCAAGCTGTCTTTTGAAGCCTCAGCTATTAAACAGGGTGTTATTTCTAGGCTCCTGAACTCTTTCGGTTGCCTTGCCCCAAGTCCTGGGCACTGCTCTAGTGGTGGGTAATAAGAATCTGTGCCTCCGTTTACCCTGCGGCCCCATCCTGCAGGAGGAACTAGAGTCATATCCTCTCGATGCCATAGTACGCTGTGACGCGGTGATGCCCCGAGGACGAAGCCGTTCGTTGCTGCTCCTAGTGTGCCAAGAGCCAGAGAGAGCACAGCCGGATGTCCATTTCTTCCAGGGCCTGCTCCTTGGGGTGAGTGGGCGTGGCTCCAGGTAGCCTTTTCTAAGAGAGGATCAGAGGCGGGGCTTCCATGTTTGGGGTGGGACCTGTGGCAAACAGAGGGGCATAGCCTGGAAAGGGGGTCTAAGAGGGAGCCAGGATTGAGGACAGGTTGAACTCCAGACCAAGACTGAATGTGACGATGGGAAGAAGGTGCAGGCTTTGTCTGACTGAGACAAGGCCTTGAGAAAAATATGGGAAGGATAGTCCGGGAGGAGCAGGCAGAACCAAAATGAGGGTCCACGGGGTTCGTTCAAGACAGTCGGAAGCATAGCGCTGAGAACAAGAAAGAGGCCTGTACAAGGCAACGGGTGAGGCGTGGGAAGGGAGATCTCAAAGTATGATTGGCAGGCGGAGCTGATCCGTGAAGACATCCAAGGGGCTCTGCAGAACTACCGCTCCGGACGTGGGGAACGCAGGGCAGCAGCACTCAGGTGAGGAGGAAGGGGGAAGCAGATGCAGAGCGCTCTGGGGAAAAACAAAACAAAACAAAAACCCCTCCCATCTGTGAACCTCACTCTCCTCAGCTTGATACGAACAGCCTAGAGTGTTGAATGTGGTCAAAAGTTAGCCTTGGCCAGGTCTTGCCTGTACCTCCCAGACAAGGCCACCTCCCCGCCCCAGTCCTCTACTTTAACCTGTCTTGGTCTTTGATTTCTCCACCTCCGTATCCAGTTTCTCATTATGAAATGCTCAGCCTTCGTTTGACCCCACTCCCACCTCCACCCCCACCCCCACCCCCGTCTCTCTTCGTAGTTCCATCGATTGCCCCAGCCTCAGTTTCCTCCTTTTCATTACTCAGGGCGACGCAGGAGGAGCTGCGACGCGGCGCCTCTCCAGCTGCAGAGACCCCGCCCTTACAGCGTCGCCCGTCTGTCCGCGCGGTGATCAACACCGTGGAACCATCCGCGGTTCGCGGGCGACCCCAAGTGGAGCCAGTTCCAGAGACTGAGGATGCGAGGAAACCGGACCCAGCGCGCACGACTAGCAACGCCGATTGCACCTCCCCGGACCTGGGCCCAAGGGGTCCTGAGTTGGCGGGTCTGCAGGCAGAGAGGGATGTGGTGAGCATGCGTGAGAAGTACCAGCTTGGGGGCGTAAAGGATTCCCCTGACATTCAAGTCAGACTTGGAGTGGGGAGCGAGATTCAGGAACGTGGGCACGTCTAGGTGTGGCTAGCTGACAGGATGCTAGGTCGGAGATGGGACTTAATTCTAGAAGTGTGGCTTGAATCTTTGATATAGACCACCCACTGCTCCAGTTATGGGCGTGGCCTGACATAGGGGGTGTGTCCAGAGTTCAAATTGGAGTCCTGGACCTAGACCAGAGTCTGAGACTCAGGATCATCACTCTTGCCCCTCTTGCTTACGGCAGGATATCCTGAACCACGTGTTTGACGACGTGGAGAGTTTTGTATCCAGACTGCAAAAGTCAGCAGAGGCTACCCGGGTTTTGGAGCACCGCGAGCGCGGCCGCAGGACACGACGCCGGGGTGCCGGAGGTAAGGGGGCCTCCACATTGAACGAGAACACACCTTCCTGAATGATGCCCAAATATCCTCTCTCTCCGAGGTCTCCCACTACCAGCCAGGTTTGCCTTCCTAAGGCCATCTGTTTGGGTGTTTACACCTTTGGAACTATTATCTAATGCTTTCCTGGTGTCCCCACCACCTTACCTGCTCCCTACCTACAGAGGGCCTGCTGACACTGAGGGCCAAGCCACCTACCGAGGCTGAATACACCGACGTGCTTCAGAAAATCAAATACGCCTTCAGTCTACTGGTGAGGATGCATCCATTGCTGGGCATCGATGGAGTGAGGGCACTGTGACTCTGACCCATCCATCATTCTTGCACTAATATTTAATGACCTCCTTTCACTCCAGGCCCGGTTGCGCGGCAACATCGCCAACCCCTCCTCTCCAGAACTGTTGCACTTTCTGTTCGGACCTCTGCAGATGGTGAGACTCGCACTCAGTTCTTAGGGTCCTCCTGCTTTAGAAGGATTGAGACTCGACTTCAAGAAGACCTTGTTGCCATGCTCATTTCTATTGGCCTGGTAGATTGTGAACACTTCAGGCGGCCCTGAGTTCGCGAGGACTGTGCGACGGCCGCATTTGACGTTGGAGGCTGTGGCGCTGCTCCGCGACAATGTCACTCCTCGTGAAAACGAACTATGGACCTCGCTGGGGGACTCCTGGACCCGCCCAGGGTGAGAGGGGAAACTAGAGTGTAGAGGTTTGACTTGGTTGCAGGACGCGGCTAAATTTGAGGAGGGGGCGGGACTTAAGATAAATGCCAGGATTCAATTGGAGAAAAGGCTCGAAATTACCGTGAAGGAAAGGCTTAACATCTAATCAGATAGTCGTGTTGAAGCAAATGGTGGAGGCTTAGAGAATTTAGAGACAGACTACAGTACGCGGAGGGTTGCCTGGGTGAGTGGGATTCAGCTACAAGGAAAATGTGGGTCGTATAGGAGTGTGACCTATAGGTTTGAAGATGAAAAGGAGTCTGTGCTTGGAGGCTTCAGGGAGGAGGCGGAGCCTGAGACTGGGAGTGGGTCAAAGGGCAGGATGGATTGATGTTGTTGAGAAGTGTTGAGAAAGTACCTAGAAGCTTGGGCGGTGGCGCACAGCTGTAATCCCAGCTCTCGGTGGTGACAGGAAGATCAGAATTGAAGATCACCCTCCACTAGAAAGTGAGCTAGGGCCGGGCAGTGGTGGTGCACGCCTTTAATCCCAGCACTTGGGAGGCAGAGGCAGGCGGATTTCTGAGTTCGAGAGTTGGAGGCTAGCCTGGTCTACAGAGTGAGTTCCAGGACAGCCAGGGCTACACAGAGAACCCCTGTCTCGAAAAAAACCAAACCAAAAAAAAAAAAAAAAAAGAATTGTGAGGATAGCCGGGCAATGATGGCTCACGCCTTTAATCCCAGCACTTGGGAGGCAGAGGCAGGCGGATTTCTGAGTTCGAGGCCAGCCTGGTCTACAGAGTGAGTTCCAGGACAGCCCGGGCTACACAGAGAAACCTTGTCTCCAAAGGGGAAAAAAAAAAAAAAGAATTGTGAAGATAGAGCCGAGTTTGCAGGAAGAGAGAAATGTTGTGAAGTGATGTCCCTGGGTTGGTTTGGCCTAACCTTCTGATGGGTCCCTGATGACAGGGTGGAGCTGCCCCCTGAAGAAGGGTCTCCCTACAGTCCAGAATTCTACAGCGGCTGGGAGCCTCCAGCCACTGACCCGCAGGGCCGCCCCTGGGAGGACCCAGTGGAAAAACAACTACAACACGAGAAGCGGCGCAGGCAGGTAAGGCAGAGCTGCCAGGGAAGCACTAAGCTCCCCGTATCCGCGCCACGGGGGTGAGCCAGGGAAGTCTGAGGTCTAGCCTGCCTGACCCCAAGCTCTCTTACTTCCCGCAGCAAAGCGCCCCGCAGGTCGCGGTCAATGGGTGAGTGTCCGCTGCAAAGCGGCCAGAGGAGGGGTTGGGAGGACTGAGTGAGTCCCGGGGTCACCCCAGCGCTGACTCCGACTCTTCCCTTTTTTCCTATCTTTTTTCCCCTCTGCCTTCCCGGCTCTTTGCAGGTGGGTGAGGTGGTGAGGAGGCGGGGCTGGGGCTGGGGTGGGGGTAGGAATAAGGAGGGAGGGGGGAGGAGCCCAGATCTGTGGGTCCAAGGGAAGAGGGAATGGAGACTTAGATTCCCGAAGCTATGAGTGTTAGAAGGGGAGCTTAGTGCTAAGAGTGGGTATGTCTCAGGGTTTGGACCCCAGTGCCCTCAAAAAACTGAAAAAGTGCAGTTTGGTGTTCTGGAACCAGGGAAGCATCATGCTTGGGTCCCAAGAGCACAGAATACTGGATGTTAGGGAAAAGATAAAGACCTAAAATCAGGATTGGTACTTGGAGAAGCTAGGGACAATTGTGAGAAAATGCTAGAAAGTACTGACACCTCTGGGCCACTAACTGAGGTGGGACTTCTGGCTTCCTAATGCTCTAAGAAATAGCACCTACTGGGGACAGACTGGACCACTAACAGAGCTAAAAAGATCTAGGGATTCGAAGGTCAAGACCTGGACTCCTGCCTACTTTGCTGGGAAAGAAAGAACTAGGGACCTAAATTTATGGCTCTAACAAATTGTGGAAGCTGAAGGTTTGTAGATCCAGGGGAGGAAGATGATGGAGAGGGGTCACAAGTCTAGGATCCTTGGGCAGATAAGAGCCAAGAGTGGAGGGAGTGGATTGAGTACAAAATGCTAGAGCTGGAGATGAGTGGGGGTCTCGGTGAGGGCCCCAGCAGAGGGTCTCAGCGGGGACGGCATACTGGGAGCTGTCAGCTCCACACAAGGGGTGCCAAGACCCTGAAGAGCCCCCCTCTCCCTTCCACAGGTATGCCTGATCCGGGATGAAGTCTCTGTTGTTGGGGGGGCCAGAGCCAATCGTTCCCCCCAAGCTATCTGGTGTTGCAGGACCATCTCCTCTGTCTGCCTGCTTCTGAATCTCAGACTCGGCACCTCCAGCTTTTTACTTACCTTCTCTGGCTGTAATTTCTTTGCCTGGAAACATGAGAAGTCTCTGGCACTGCGGCTCAGCTTGAGTTCAAATCTAGCTGCACACAGAGAAGTTCAGAGGGACTCTGACAAGGCCTGCCAGGAGCCAACTAAGTTACACCTTTCTTTTGTGACCTGACCATTAATACACTGTACCTCAGTTCCTTCCCTATAAAAAGTGAAATAATGGCCATATTCTGCTACTCAAGTACTCAAAAGCATGAAGCAGGAGGATCAAAAGTTCTGGGCCTATGTGGTCTACAGAATGAGTTTAAAGGCCAGCCTCTATTATATAAAAATAATAGAGGCCGTGAGGGGCTAGAGAAATGGCTTAGTAGTTAAGAGCACTAGCTGCTCTTCCAGAGGACCGGGGCTCAATTCCCGTGTATGCATGCAGCTCACAACCATCCATAACTCCAGTTCCAGGGGATCCAATACTCTCCTAGGTCTCTGCAGGCACCAGGAATACAAGTTATACACAGACCTACATGCAGACACGCACATCTATATACATAAAATAAAACAGAGGGCTGGGATGTAGCTCAGTGACAGAGCATTTGCCTAGAATCTACCAGTAAAGGAAGGGTTAGGGGCTCAGGAGTAGAGTGAGTGCCTGAGAAGCTAGTAGTGAGGGCTCGGGAGTATGGGTTGATGGTAAAATTCTTGCCAAGAATCCAAGCAGTGAAGGGCTATGGCCATGGCTTACCTGTCTGGGGTATGGCTCAGAAGTAGAATACTTGCCTAGAATCTACTAGTAAGGGGCTGGGACATAGGTTAGCCATGCACTGTGTGCCTAGCATATGCAAGATACTGGGTTCACTCCCCTGTACCACCAAAAGGGAGGAAGGGGGGTAATAGTGAAGTCCCTGGAGGAGGAAGGAACTAAAGAAGACCCACATTTATGGAGCTACCCTGTAGCTCCAGGAGAATCAAATCTGAATGCAATTGGCATACCATGTGGTATAAGCATATGCATTGGCTGTTGTTTGTATCTTCCTCATAATCCTCTGCCCATTCCAGCTATCTGTTCTGAGTTTCACCGTTCTCACTTATAAAATGCAAGCGAGGAGCTGGAGAGATGGCTCAGAGGTTAAGAACACCACTCTCTGCCCTTGCAGAGGACCTGGGTTCAGTTCCTGGCACCCCGTGGTGGCCCACAACTGGCTGTGGGCCCTAGGAAGCTAGCCCCCGGACGCCCTCTTCTAGGCTCTGCGAGGACCGCACGTGTACATACATAAGTGCAGGCAAAATGCTCACAAATAAAATTAAGAACAGAAAAAACAATGCAAGTGAGGACTGGAGGATGGAGTGCAGAAGTAAAGCACTTCCTTAGCATGCACAAGGAAGGCCCTGGGTTTGATCCCCGCTACCTCATAAAGAATTAAACAGTAATCATGATTATCATGTTTGCTGCATGATGCCAAGCAAGGAAATGAGCCAACTATATTCAAGCTGTGACTCCAGTGTCAAGTCTGTATTAACATATTAACCTGGAACCCTGCTTTAGCCCCTGCTTGGCTCTAACCTCACCTCACATTAGCAACTTATAATCCAGACCATCAAGGCTGGCTACCTCCTCATCTCCTACCCGTTTCATTCTCCCTAGTCACCAAGATCCAGAACTGGAAACTGAGTCTCAGCTAGAAGAGAAAGCCAGAAAATGGGTTCTGTGTAATTATGACTTCCAGGCCCGAAATGGCAGCGAACTCTCTGTCAAGCACCGAGATGTGTTGGAGGTTAGCGGTGTGGGGGCCTGAGACTCTGGAATTGACCGATTCTGCATAGACTACGCATAGAACCAGGGCACGAATTTTCTGTTTATTCTCCACCTAGGTCCTGGATGACAAGCGCAAATGGTGGAAGGTTCGGAACCATCAGGGACAAGAGGGCTATGTACCCTATAATATCCTGACACCCCACCCTGGACCCCAGGTGCACCGCAGCCAAAGCCCTGCAAGAAACCTAGTAAGTCAGCATATTCTTGCTTCTTCAGGGAGAAGTGGGGGCCAGATCCTAGGTCCTGGGGATGAGGACGGAGAAAATCAGGTATGAAGAGTACTTCTTGGCAAGTGGAGTGTTTAGTTTATTGAGAAAGGGCCTGGAAGCCCCCTCTCCTCTTCTCTTCTCTTCTCTTCTCTTCTCTTCTCTTCTCTTCTCTTCTCTTCTCTTCTCTTCTCTTCTCTTCTCTTTTCTTTTCTTCCAGGAGACTAGCACACCTCCTCCCCCACCTGCCCCAGCTCCAGCCCCCACTCAGGTGCGGCCCCAGTGGGACAGTTGCGACAGTCTAAACAGTTTGGACCCCAGCGAGAAGGGTGAGTTGTGGAGAGTCACTCTGGGAAGTGATCCTTGTCTTCACTTTTCAGGCTCCACTCTGGGCAAGCTAGAGGCTCCCGAATCCCTGGCCCCAGCACCCTGAGTGCGCACTCCCTCCCTTCACGGTTTCCCTCCTGCAGAGAAATTCTCCCAGATGCTTTGTGTCAATGAGGAGCTGCAGGCGCGCCTGGCGCAGGGCCGTTCGGGTCCCAGCCGGGTAACCCCGGGGCCCCGAGTCCCGGAGCCCCAGCTCAGCCCGCGCTCTGAGGCCTCGGTGGTCCGTGCCTGGCTGCAGACCAAGGGCTTTAGCTCCGGGTGAGTGGGGTCCCGCTGCTACTCTGATTAGACGTGTAAAAGACCTGGAAGTCGAGGTTTCAACTGCTCAAGGTGTGGGAGCGGGGAAACTATGGGGCAACTTACAACGCCCGAGGACAGGCTCATCGGAGACCACAGGGAAGAGCATTCCTTTTCTGAAATCCTACGTCTCCAGAGCCTGAGCCCCTCCGCCCCAACGTCCTTCCTTGAGAGCTCTGATTGGACAAGCAGTTAGGTGGGTGTGATACGATCGGTGGAACTAAACTGTGATGGCCCCTGCTGCCTTCTTAGGACTGTGGATGCGCTCGGCGTGCTGACTGGGGCACAGCTCTTCTCGCTGCAAAAGGAAGAGCTGCGGGCGGTGTGTCCCGAGGAAGGGGCGCGAGTGTACAGCCAAGTCTCTGTGCAGCGCGCGCTGCTGGAGGTGAGAGAATCCCCCAGGCCTGGATGAGGTTGGGGGGGGGGGTCACCCAAGATTCACAAACTCAGGTCTTGATTTCCACCTCACCCTCCAGGACAGAGAAAAAGTATCAGAGCTGGAGGCCGTGATGGAGAAGCAAAAGAAAAAAGTGGAAGGCGAGACCAAAACAGAAGTCATTTGATCCTGGCTCGTTCACAAAACGTGATGAGACGGTGGAGTTCCCAGCACCCCGTAGGACAACCGTCGCCAGACTCCTCCCCATCGCCAGTGGCAGTAGATGTCCCACCCTGGGTTCCCCGCCATCCTGGCGGGCAAACTGTACTGACCGGAACCCTTCCAGAGGGACTGATGGGAACGGGAAAGGGGACGGAGCATAGACACTACCAGAGAGACATGCCCAAGAGGCGCAGTGATGGCCCTCCCTGTGCGTTGTGATGCGCTATAAACAGCCTCCTTTTAGGCTATGTCCACCTGCTGTCCCCCTCTCTTGCCGGCTACCAAGGAGCCAAGAATCTAGGGGACACTCCATATTTTCTATCCATAAACCTGGGGATTCCAGGCTTCCTCTTAAGCACCAATCTATCCTTGCTCTAGCAGTACCTACAATCTCTCTGGTTAAAAACCCTTTCCTGGCTCCTCGCTGTTCTCCGTCCTGTCACCTAGCATGAAGCCTGAAGGTGTCTCCTCTCACCCTCCATTTTGGGCCAACCCCTTCCATCACAGGCATTTTGCACTTACTACTTCTGCTGGTTGGAGCAGCCTCCATCATTCTGGCTCAGCTCACCTGCATGCTATGGATGCTTGTGCCAGCCACCAAGGGTCCAGCTGTGGAGATCTGGATATTTCCTGGGCATGCTATAGGCTCTTGAGTCTTCCAGTCCCCTCGAGAACTTTCTCCCTGCTAAGTCCTTGTCCAGTTTCTTTAGGTGGCTGATAAGAGCTTGTTTTCTCATTCAGACTAGATATCCCTAAGGTCTTTCTTTTTCTGACCCTGGCACTTCTTGCATCCCTAAAACACTTCCAAGAGTCCCACCAGTGCCCTCTACCTCTGCGGCCTCTGCTCCCGAAGCAGTTCAGTTCTTACCTGAGCCACCAGGTGGCACACCTCAAATCCAACCTAGAAAAGCCAGCCTTTTGGCTGACAGCTTCACTATACCCACTTCCTTCTAGAACATTAACCACTGCATGCAGATATCCTTCCCTGTCTACTCAAGTATGTCCCTTGGCTTCTCCTGACAGATGGGATAAAACCTAACCCCAGCACGAGAGTTGATGCACATGACCACTCCAAGTTCAGGATCCCCTTCCTCCCCTTTCAGGACTCCAGGCAATGGTTCATGCTGTTGGCTCTGCCAGGAATGCCCTGGCCCTCCAGAGTCTAATCAGTGCCCGTCATTCCTTATGCCAAGGTTGGGTGGTTAGTTAGTTGATTGGTTTTGTTGGAGACAGTCTGGATACAGCCTCAAAGGCTCAATCTTGTTTCAGTTTCCTGAATGCTGGGATTCCTGGCAGACACCCTGCTGCCTTCTTTTCTAAGAGAAACTAAAAACACAAGCAGTTTGCCCAGACTGTTTTTGATTCCTGTAGTGAGCTCCCAGGCTGCAGGTTACACTGCAGGCAGGGACCAGCTAGCTTTCCCTGTACTTCAGTTGCCTGTAGCTCTTTCTGGTCTGGAATGGCATCATTTCTATCTGCTTATCCTGACTTCCTCCTCTGTTGATCACCCTGTCTGTCACTCCTCCAATATCTGTCAATGGTCAGCCAGGGGGACCTGTTACACCTCGAGTCAGATGTCAGTCTGGTGGCCAGACCTTCCATCTCAGAGCTCAAGTCCTTAGCAGAGCCACATCCCTATACAAAGCCAGCACCTCAGCACTGTCCTCTGCTACTTAGCCCCAAGTTCCTTCCTGCACCTTAGCATGCCAGGCTATAACCTTTTCATTCATGGTTCTCATCACAGAAAATGTGCTTCCTTCAGACATACGGCTCACTCTGCTACCTTCTAGTGTCTAACATAAACACCATACACAAACACCAGATACACACCCAACATACACCATACACTACATATAACCCATAGCCCACATTCAGCCATGCCATGCACCACACACAAAATGCACACCACATATATACAGCCCGCCACAGACAACATACTCCAACCCACACCCACCGCCCTCTCCCCTTCTCTTTCTCTACAGCACTACAGCTGAAATTCATACACTGGCTACCCAGGTGAGACTGACTCTCCTGCAGAGCAGTGGCTGCTGCCCCCGAGCTGTTCACTCCTGGGACACCAGTAGGCAGAACAGAGCCTAGCTGGTAGTGTAGGCAGTTGCTCCTGACTGTAAGGATGGAGGCACAATGCAATCTCAAGACTGGCTCTTGCTGTCCCAGTTGATGTGGCCATGGAGGACTGAAGGAACTTGCCATCAGTTATTCCTTTCCCAGAGAAGCTACACTTGCAGTTTTCTATGTGCTCTACCCCACATTTTCAATGCCAGTCACCAACTCCACTCCTTTCAGAGGAACTGAGGGCAAATCTGAGCCCCATGAACTCCCTTCTGACACTTCCCACAACATCTGGGATCCTTAGCTGCACTTGTTCACTTCAGCAAAGTGCCCTCCCCACACCTGTGAGCACACTCCAACCACCCCAATCCAAATCCAAATGGGCTCAGTCAGCCTGAGCCCACAAGCAGGAGACCAAGTCACTGAGTGGCAATGTCACAACTTTATTTATGGTGCCTGTGCTTTGTCTCAAAAATACCTTCTCCCCCTCCCCAGACAATGGGTGGGGAGGAGGCAGCAAAAATAGAAGACATCCCTCCCTATTGCACATGGACCCTATATACAGGTCCAGCTGGCAGAGGCCAGCGGGACTCTTGGCACATTCCTGGATCCCTGTTGGGGAGGGGGACGGGTGCTGGGTAGCATCACACGTGAGGTGGGACCCTGGGGGAACCACTCTGCTTCTGGATGCTGATTTTGCGTCTCTTGGTCCTTGCTTTCTTCTTGGTCCCATCTCTGGTGCCTGTCCACTCTCAGCAACATCTCCCTACCTGGCTCAGCCTTCCACCACTATCCTGACCGCAGAGAGGTCCCCTTGGTTCCCGGGGACTCTGTGCTTCCCTCCCAGTTTGATGTCCCGAGAGGTTATGGCTTCTCAGCAACTTCCCCCAGAGCCTTGTCACTCATGTTCACGCGGGGGGAAAGGGTGCGTGTGTCAGAAGCAGCAGTATAAATATGGTGCGGGAACTCCTCCAGAGTCACTTGGATAGTTTGCTAATGACTCGGATCAACGCTGCATTCTCATCCTTGAGCCGTTGGTTGTCAGCCCGGAGATCAGACAGGGCCTAAGACACAGGGTGGGGTCAGCAGGGTGGTGCTAGGTAGGTTGGAGTCTGGCTACTGCCCATCACAAGCCCCAGTTACCTTCAGCTCCTCCTCCAGCTCTGCTGCCTTGCGCTCCAGAGCCCTGCGCTCCTGCAAGGCACGGGGCAGGTTCAGAGCAGGGTAAGGACAAGAGGCAGGGTAAGTCTGGGACACAGTGGGCCCACCCCCAGGAGCCCAAACTCACAAATCTCTCCAACTCAAGGAGGGCGGGCCTCTCAGCAAAGCGCTCCTGCCGCTGGTGAGGACAGAAAGACCTGGAGTCAAGTCAAGAGCTACGTCTTTACTCCACTAGTCTAGCCCGAGCCCTGTCCTCAGCGGAAGGAACTCCCCAGCCTCCCAGCCAGGGCCAGGCCCCTCCCCACTGGAGCTCCGCCTCTCATTATCCCCGACCCATTTATACCTGTGTGGCCCGCTCCAGCTCCACCTTGAGCTGTGCCAGACGCAGGGTGGTCTCTGTCAGGGCCTCGCGAAGTCGTTCGTTCTCCCTGCGGAGCTCCATGTACAGCTGGGAAAACAAGAGGATGCAGGCAGACTCAGAAGGGGCCGGATGTGGGCCATCAGCTGAAAGCAGAACAGGGTAGGGTAGGGCATGGGGTGGGATGCTGTACCTTCCGGAAGCCTCCATCAGGCTCTTCAGGTTCCTGTTTGGACTCTAGTGTGAGGTCTCTCTGTGAGCGCTGCCTGCGGACCGTAGTTCCGCCATCCACAGTGCTGGACAGAAGGGACACGCCTTAGGCACCTAGCTTTACCTCAGAAATGTGCCCCAGCCTCCACACAGGACCCCGTCTACCTGCACTCTGGGCTCCGTTCCGTAGGCCCCGCCTCTTCCCCCTGAAGAAGACCCCCAAGAGTTTAGTCTCTACCTCACGTCCAGGCCTGTCCTCCCTCCAGCCCACCAACCCTCCACAGCACCCTCACCTCGGCTGGCCCCCTCCGCTCATGGCCAGCTTTTCGATGCTCCCTGGCGGCCTGTGGTCCCTGGCCCTGCCCTTCGGGCGCCTCTGCTGGGGAATTGGCGGGAATCAGCCCAGACACTACTATAGGAACCCTTGTCCACTATGCATGGAACCTGATTCCATCCCCAAGTTAACAAAAGACTTTATGTGAGAGATAAGATGGCTCTCTAGGGAAAGACTTCCCAGAAAGCAGACCTCACCTCTCTGGGCAGGGCTCTCTGCGTTCTCCACGCCAGGGACCCGAGGTCTCCGAGAAGGGTCCTGCCAGGAAGGCACACAGTCAGAAACAGGGAGATGGGTTCCACCCAACCCACTTCACCTAAACCTGCTCACCAGGCTGGGCAGGGCCGGCTGCTCTGGCTCTAGGACCTTCCCAGCCACCTTTTCTGCTTCCTTCAAGTCTGTCAAAGTTACACCCTAGCAGAGAGAACAATCAGGGAAGACTCTGACCCAGCCCTCCTCCCCCAGACCCAAGAGCACAGGCCCGACCCCAGCCCACACCTGTGTGGACCTCCGAGACTGTCGCATAAGGCGGGAGCGAGCCTTCCGCTGAGACTCAGACTCCTCATCACGCACAGGCATCTGGTAGGACCTGAGTGGAGAACCCTGAACTGAGACAGTGTCCTGTCCCTTGTGAGCTCTCACACCCGCGAATGAACCTACAGAGGGTGCACATCCTAGCAGAACACATTTCAACTCCCACAGACCTTAGACTAAGTACTCCAGGAGTACTAGCCAGAGCCCTAAAGACCCCCCAAACACCGCTGTCTCAGTGCTGCTTGCCCCTAGCCTCTTTACCTCCGACGATCCCTGGAGTCGGCCAGGGGTGTTGCAGAGGCTGTGAGGGCATTTGGTTTCACTGGAGATCCAGGCTCCCTCCTGGACGGTAGAGGGGAGTGATCCAAAGAAGGAGGCTTGGCAGCCTCACACCTGCATGGATTCATTCATCAGCAAATATTCCTCAAGCCTGCATTCTGTGCCAGGCATGGGAGAGACCATAGAGAATAAAACAGTGGTCACTACTGAAAGGGGTCATTTCCAGGCAAAACAGACAAAAAACAAACAGCAGCCAAAAAGGCAAGTCTGGAGCGTGAGGAGAAAAGGTGCTTGGAGAAAATAAAGAGAATAAGCCAGGGATATGTACTGTGTCAACGTTAGCAAGGCAGTCCTGGTGGGCCTTAGAGAAAAGGTGACAACAAAGGTAGACAGGAAGGAGGGAGAGCCCAATCTGACCCTATGGAGTCAACAGAAGGAGCAGAAGCCCTGAGGCAGTCAGATCACAGTGGGTGCTTTACAGTGAGCATTTACTTGATGCCCCCTTAAGGACTCTCCCAGGATCTCAAATGCCAGGATAAACACCAGGCCTTGCTCCAAGTACTTACAGGGTAAAGGGCTCTGGCACTTTCTGGGCAGGGGTAGGGGTTATTCTGGCAAGACGAGGCTCCCTGGCCTGTGGAGGCAAGAGAAAAACAAAGGAGGTACTCTGTCCCGAGGCAGAAGACACCCCACCTACCTCTCCCCTACCCACCACACTTCGTGACCCTACCTGAGTGGAGGCCTTTTCAAGGAGGGAGGAGGAGGCTGAGCGCTGCAGACCGAGAACTCCCTCTGTACCCTTCCTTTCTGAAGGACCCAAGGCACCAGAGCTCCCTGTCTTCTGGAGACCAAAGCGCCTGGAGAAGGGAGCCTCTTCTGGCAGCTGGGAGAAGAGGGAAAGTCTCCATCACTGAGCAAAACAATGATCCCTCTCCCCAGAAGCTAAGGGTATAACTCCAGGAGAACCACAGAAAATCACAGCCAAGGCGGGTGCCACCAAAAAAATAGTTCTATGTCCACAAGGACCTAGAAAGCAAGGCAAAAGGCCATCTTCCTGACCAGAGGTAGGAGTATTTACAGGGTCCCGCCATTGCCCCAAACCTCACATCGGCTCATGGTGATCAGACTCACCACAGGGCTCTTAGGGCTGGAGGACACAGGGGAAGACACACCATTAAGGGCTCTTGGTTCCACAGCTGGGTGCGCTGTAGTACAGAACAGAAAGGGAATGTCAAAGGAGATGTCAGCTACCTCTGATATTTTGGAGTCCCACGACTCCAGGCCCAGCACTCACTCCTTCCTGGGACCCAGGGGTCTTAGCATCCCTACCAGCTGAGGCTTCTTCTCCCTCATCCTCATCTCCAATAGGGGGCCCTCCTGCCCCACCAGGCCGGCGCTCCTTTGACAGATCCTGCAGGGAGATCTTTTCACGGCTGCTCAAACGGCACACCGAGCTCCTAGGGAAAGGACAGAGTGTCACTGTCCAAGTCTGGTGGTGAGTCCAACCCACCCTAAGCCTGGCCTTTTCTTACCTTCTGT